GTTCAAAAACCGTCATGTCATGAGGCAGTATCGGATCTAGACAGTGGTCTTGGGCCCTGCAATAACCGAAGAAAAATACCAAGCGAAGCCACTCGATGTCAGTCTTGCTTCACACAGTTTTGCGCAGCACAGCATCATTAAAAGTGCTGAAAAGCCCGTTTACAGAGAAGATGTTAAAGTCGAGCCCGAGCCATTTGAGTCATGACTTCTGTGTTGCCGGGATGCTCACCTTTATCTTGTGATAATTCTGATTACTCTATGGCAAAGGAGGTGTTAGTGACACCGTAGTGGCTCCAAAAAGTCCTGTACGATGAAGGGATGGAGATTTTAGCTTGATCTGTTTTATGAACGGTGAGAATCATATCTTTTTCAATTCAGGTGCACATCTAAGTATTTGATGATGGAAATCAGGAGTACTTTTAAAGTTAGGTATTACTGAAAATAAATGCATTGCATCCAACTGTGGAAGATACATTGGTGAGCTTTGGTATTTGTGAATTATGTTTGGTTTTGATGCACCAGAATTTCAGAGGGGGAAGTTCCTTAAATTTCAGTAGTAAATAATTTGCATACTTAAATGTATGCTGCTTCTGTGGCCTTGTTTAATATTTTATGTAATACATGTGATCGATAACCTTTTTGTTTTACAAATTCTCAAAATTCAGGAATGCTTTTTTGAAGGTCTGGATTTTTGTCACTGTTTTTGTGTTGTTCCATTTGTCAGCACTCTATTATCATTCCAGTAGCTTGTATAATAATCTCATGTGCTGTGTTCTGTGATGTACAAACTGCAAAGTTTGGTCTCTTTGAACTAGTACCTATTGCCCCTTATTTTACATCTGAATTCCATTCCCATCCAGCTGTGCTTTGCCAAGCATACTTGGAATTTTTCATAGGATTTCTTCTGGAATTTTAGCCACCCTTCCTAAAGACACAAGCTTTGTGTGACCAAGACTTTTGCCTGTCTTTTTTTCTTAAGTCTTTCATCTAGTATCCTCTTAAGTCTTTAACCATAGTTATCTGTATTTGACAAAAAGATAGCAGTATCAAAACTGAGTTCATAGAAATTGTTGGTCAGGGTAGAGGACAAGGATGAACAGAAATTAGTTTCCCCATTGAAGAAAAGGTAAGGAAAGCTCAATCATTATATATTCAGAGCTCAATCATATATATATATTCCAGCAGTGGCCAGCCAGCCAGAAAGGTGCATGTAGCTTTGGATTAATGATAGCACCTACTTTCCTTTGCCCCGTGAGGGTAGAAGGCAGAACACGGGAAAGTAACTTCCATGCACTGGGTGTTCTTGGGGAGCACATGATGTACATCAGCAGGAATACAAGTTTAGTTAGTCTAAATTGGTTTAATGTTGGAACTTTGCAGATACTTATTAAGTGATCTGTCTTCCTCAGAAAACTTACAAAGAGCAAGTCACATTATTTCCATCACGGCATCTATGCCTGCCTAAGGTACAAGTAACTTCATTTAACTTCTGTGAGCATATATAAACACAACTGTTGTTCTTGAACTTTCCTGTCAGTTTATGTGAAGATTAGAAGCAGTTCTCATGCAAGAGTCCAGTGTTTTCTTAGAAAAGCTGCTCCCATATGAAGTGAGGTTTAGGGCTTCTATCTCACAGTTTGCCAAAAATTTTTCTTTTCTGAGGTCTAGGGTGAAGTAAGGTCTCAGATTTTTATTTTTTTTTTTTTAATCCTTTGAGGCCAGAGCTACAGAATTAAACTTCCTACCTCCACGTATCCACTATGTGTGTAAATATCCAATGTATGTAAATGTTAGAGGAGCTGATGAAAATACAGACTGCCCCCACAGAGGTTACCCCATTTTTATGGAATCTGTTATAAATCAGGTTTGAAAAGCCCACCAGATCTGATCTATGATGCAATAATTCTTTCCTTTTATATACTATCTGTATTCTAAATTTTGACTTATGGTAGTTATTATTTTAGCATGGTACATATGTACACTACTAGAATCATACTTTTGTGTATTTCTCAGACCCCCCCCATCTAATCACTTGAAAATAAGCTTTACTTACATAAGATCATCAAAAGAGCTAACTAAAAAAATCTAACCTTACAACAGTGTGTGTGTGTGAATGCACTGACTTAAATGTATAAAAACAAAGGTTCCTCACACTTATCCTTTGGTGTTCCAGAAAACTAAGTTTTATATGCCTGTTCAAGGAAAGGAGAAGGTCTCATAGTCCCGATAGCTCAGGTACATCATGATACAGTTTGAAGTATGACAAGTCTGCATGGTCTAGGAGTTTATAGGTTAATGAAAGCCATCTGATGGGAAAATGCTTAAACATTGTGTGTGTGAGATACGGTACGTGTTTCAGTTAGGATATTGATGTGGTTTAGGAAAGTATTTTTTGATGTTTCTTTAAGATTTAAATGTTGGACGACTGTGTAGCAAGGTATAGGCTTGCTGTTATGCATACCTGCACATTTGTTTTCCCTTAAAAATTTTGATTTGTCTGGGGGATTGTAAATTATATGTTGCATTATGTCATTGCTAACTAAGAGTACTTTCTTAATTTCAGTGTTACAGCAAGGTACAGTGTTTTTCAAGACTAGTGTCGATGTTATCAACTCCAGATTTAATGATCGTGCAATTTTTTACTCATCAAAGTAATTGCTGGAGTAAAACAAAACTTCCTTACAAGTTCCACATGAGCATGGACATGCCGAAGACTTTGCATGTGCAGTTCTGTCTGCATCTAACAGGGCTTACTTTCAAGTATTAGTTGTAAGGTGTTTGCACTCATGCATGCACACACCCATAGAAAGAAACCATCCCTTGTTATTATGAGGGACAAAAGTTTGTTGTTATAGCTAATCCTAGGAGTTCAGATACGAATCTGGGATTGATGCAAACTGTCCAGATTTACTGACTCTGCAAATATGAGGTGGGAAAATCTCAATTACAGACTTTTTCAAACAGCTTCAGCATTTTGATGCGAGAAGTTTGAAGAATGGAGAGTATGTTCCTGTGTGTTTAGTGATGGTTCTTTGGTTTCATAATGGTTTGGGGTTTTTTTGACTGTTTCAGAATAGTCAGAGCTTCTAGCAAACCCCAAAACATGGGACTACTCTCTTTTACACAAGTACCCCTTTGGGTACATTTTTGTACATACATATCTATGTGTAGAAATGTATTTTGATTTTTTTTCTTCACAGTAAATGCTATGACAGTTAGAGGTACTGAACATTTTATCAAAACTAAGCACCCCCTGACAGCTGAGTAACTCTTGCTGTAGCTAGAAGGATTCCTGTCCACTTCTGATCATTGAAAGTAAGGAAAGGACTGTGTTGTGAAACACTTGGCAGCCATAACAGCTTTGATTATGAAGTCCTTGAACTGCACTTTCAAGCTAAAAGCAAGGACACACACAAAACCCCAAACACAAACCTCACATTAAAAAAAAAAAAAAAAAAGAAAGAAAGAAGGAATTGATGCTTAGAGGTTTATTCCAGTGAACAGAAGTAAGATAAACCTGTTAAACCCATCTTGTGTTTCTTCTGTTCTTTAAAAAGTGTACATGGTTAAAGGATGGGCAGGGCAAAGAAAAAGTATGCCTGGAATAGTTAAAAGTGTGGGTCTGTCTTAAGCAATATTTTTCCTGCTATTTCTTTTATTTTTCCTTTTGCACTTCTAAGGGACACAACAGTGGACACCACCTGAATGTCACTCAGTAGAATGAACTGTGGTGCATTTGCCCTTGTGCTTTTCTCCCTATTGCATTTGGAAACAAAGTCTCTTTTTTCTGAAGTTGTTTTGGATGGCCAATGCTTTAGTTTTGTTTGTCTTAATCTAAACAATAAAATGCAAATTAATTTATATAAATCAAATGGAAATATTTTTTAAAAAATATTTATTTTTATTGCCTACAGCAGAACAGTGATTGAGAAGACACTTCAACCATATGACGGATCTTACATTTTAACTTAAATTTCTTTGCAATCCAGAGATACAAAAAACTTAAAGGAAAGCCACTGTGTCCTTGCTCCATGTCGGACAAGGCATTTAAATGTCTTGGCATGTAAAGCTCTTCCATGCTCTCATCACTTTGTGTCTGAGCACTTTGTATCGTACACAAGGTGCATGATGTTATTACAAGATCAGAAGTTACTTGGTGAACTGTCTTTGTTGAGAGAGCCTTTGCTGGGTGGCCTACCAAGAGCAGAAAGGAGTAGCTCTGAAGAAGAATGATTGTCACAAGCGTTTTTGGCACTTCCCACGTGGAGCCGATCGCTTGCTTCACTGCAGCCCTTCACTGCACTTTAAGCTTGTTACGCTTTGGTCTGAGGCTTCTGTGTATGATTTCAGCAGGACTTATTGCTACCTGATGTTCTGCATTTTCTACATAAATAAGCTTTTTACTGTCATTTAGAAGACAAAACACTGATGGAGTAAAACAAGTTTGCTAGCACCAGGGTTGCTAAGGACTTCATGCCTTCTGACTGCGGCCAGAAAAGCTCCCCGCAGGAGAGGCAAAGCTGCTCTCCTGGGCTTGGCAGGGAGATGCCTGCTCCACTGGGCACTTCCCGCTCCTATTAGCATAGCCCAGCCTATATCGCACACACACACCCAGTAATACCTCATTTTGCTACTGGCCAGAGGCCAAAAGCACAAGCATTACAGGGAATATAAAGCGGGAGGTTACTGGAAAGAATCACAAACTAACGTGAGACTAGACCAAATTTTTGCAAAGAGCAGAAAATGTGATCTTTGCTATAAACAGTTCTTGCATTTCACGTAGCTGTTTATATGATTGAAGCATTTAATAAGTGTTTTTATTGAGTATAGTTAGAGAGCAGCTGCAGAGATCTTAAGTGCTTCTGTTCATTGGGGTTTTTTTTCTCTGTAGTTTTGGAACTGCAAAATCTCAGAAGAAAACTGGAGATTGACACATATCAGGGTGATTCCTCAACTGTGCGCTCTTCTGAAAGAGCAACTGCTTTTGGGGTGTAGGAATGATGACAGGAACAAAAAAGAAAAGAAGTGCAGTCTGGAGGAAGATCCAGGCTGTTCGCTTTGAAGATATCAAAGTCTGGTGTATGAGAAGGCTGCCCATCTTGAAATGGGTGCCTGTCTACAACTGGAAGGAAAATTTGATTCCAGACACGGTTTCTGGGATGATGCTAGCCATCCAACAGGTGACTCAAGGTACAGTGAACTCATTTCAGATTCATATTTTGAAATCTGGTCATGCTGAATTGGTCTGGTCTTCTTTCTTTTTTTTCTTTCTTGTTTAATATTATCACAAAGCTTTGGTTAAAACAAAGACATGCTTATGTATCTAATGTTGATTTAATCTAATTAAAAATATAAGGAAAAATGTATAGTATTAACTGTTATGTGTTTATAGCGGATATGCACATGTGGATGGAAATGCCTTGTGTTATTGTAGCTAATTTCTGTGAGCTGGAACTTCACTATATATCCCATCCCTTTGAGTATTTTTCAAAGACTTAATGTAGAAGATAAGAGAGCAGTAACTCTATTCATACAGTGCATGGTTATATACAATGTTTTATCAGTTAAATGACCACCTTTTTCTCTATTTCATATGGAAAACAAAATATATCTATGTGATAATTGCATTGTAAGAGGTGCTGTTCTGGAAAAAACATTGGCATTATACTATCACCTGTGGAGCCCAGAGCGCAGCAGGAAAAACTGACAACTTTCTGTGCATAAAGGCTGCTCCTGCCAGAGACATTACACAGGGAGAGGATCTGCCTGCATCCGTGGCTTGCATACTTCGGCTTCTATGTTAGTTTAATGCTGTATTACATTACCTACCACAACTCTTTTCAAGCAGCAGTACAAACCAGGGGTGGAGCTAGACTCGATTTAGCAGCTTAAAAAAAGAAAAAGAAAAAGGAAAAACTCCCCAAAACAAAAACCTGCACAATGACCTGCAGAAACCTAAAGTCCCAGTAATAGGTATTTGTAAAGTGATTGCTACTGGGAAATAAATGCTTTTATCGGGTTTTGATGTGTCTTTGATAGTGTCACCTTCTTTTGGCAATATTTTATATTTGTCTCAGGCAAATCACAGCTTTTTATCTGCCTCAGATGGACTTTAATCCTTCCCTTATGAAATCTATATATATTATTTCCTAACAATTTTCCATATTAGCTATGCTTAACTATCATTCATGTTGTTAAATTATAAGCACTCCTTTAATTGAATTATGCTGTAGCTGGAAACAACCGATTTGTGTAAGTATTTGTTCTTTTAAAGTAATTAGGAACATCTGCATTGGCATGATTTAACTTTAAGAACCTTAATACTGTAACACTGCAAAGTATCTAATTTCACTGGTATGTGCATATACAACAATTGTAATTAAAATACTGCTAATAACAGTGTGTTGAAATTAATCAAAAATATTAAGTTAAACAGCAGTTCTGCACTGCTGGTAGTTTGAGACAGGATTTTCTTTTCAAGGTTTGTACCAAGAAGTAATTTAATGTAACAGATCAATTTAAGAAGATCCAGTGAAGACAGGAAATACTGGTTTTGTTTTCTAGATTATGTTTAAGTACTCTAGAAATAATTTTATCCTTATTTTATGCTGTTTAAAAGCAAATACATTGAAATTCTTCTGTCCTGCTGACCTGTTTTTCCTTTCTCTCTCCTCACTGCTTCTCAAGATTTCAGAATGATTTTCGGGGATGGAGAAGGAGGAGAGCTAGATACCAAAGCATTTTATCGTGTTTGTGGTGCTTTAACTTGAACGCAACGTATTTATTTAGACCCTGCTTACATTAGCTTTCTTCCTCGTGTTGTAAACCTTCCAGTTACTACTACAATCCTTTAATGCTTTCACAGAGAGGGTTATACAAGAAAATAAAATGTCCCATTTGTTATATAACACGAAGGTAATTAAAAGACCCCAAATTTTGAGAGGTCTTATTGTGTCTGTTTCCTTCCATCCACAAAAGAAACCAAGAAGTTTTGTAATGAAATGAAAGGCAGAAGTTCTAACAATGGTAGGAAAAAATTAGTAACCAGTGCTAATTGACATGCAGAGCACAGTGTCATTTGGTGTTGCAGCAACATGTTTGAATAAATTCAAGTATATGGAAATCAACTTGAGTTATGGAAGTATATGGAAAAATCTGCACTTGTATTCATATGCAACAGTTTTCTGAGTGATGAAAGATGCATACTCCAGGGTAGAGAGCAGTCCAGTAGCTTGAGAATAATTTGGAAAGACCTTCCAACTGAGCTGTGTTTTTCAGAGTTTCCTTGTGGGATTTCTTACTCATCTGGCATTGGCCATATTAAGACTATTCGGGTTGGCAACTGCTCTGATCTGGTGTAATGTGTCTGTGTTCCAACTTCTGATCTAAATTTTAGATGATATAGCTGGCTTCCATTTGTAAAGGAAGGAAGGAAATGGGAAAGTCACTGTCCTTAGTGTGTCGTAGTGAATGCAACAAAGATAATGCTCCTAACTGCTCCTCACAGAATTTTCAGAAATTGTTTCTGGTGAATTCTTATCCAATAGCAGGTTTTGGTGTCTGCCTTATAAGTGAGAAAAACAAAAGAGCAAATTAATAGAAATATCAGTAATCAATGTATGCAGATAATGTTTGTTTCCCAAAAGTCTTTTATAAAGCTATAGGATAGTTCAGAATAGCTGTTCTTATGCCATCTTTTATTTTGGATAAAGTTTTAAAGAGCTACTACCATTCATCTTCTGATTTTCAGGGTTGAAATTATTAGTCTTTAAATGTGACTTAAGCCTTCAAAATCCTGTAAGATACCTTCAAGTTAGCTACTTGAAAATTGAAACCCTTGAACTCATATATCAGTTCAGGTTTAAATGTCTTCCATCACAACACACAGAAGCTCGAAACCATGTCCTGTGGTGACAGAGTCTAGGAATGGTGTACAAGAAAGGCATGCTACCTGAGTATTCAATTGTCTTTACTTCCATGTACAGTGTGGAAGAAATGGATCTTTAGAAGGTAAGGTGTTACCTTGCCTAACACTGAGCTAAGGTAAAACCATTTGCCTCGGTGCCTAAGGTGTTATCCTTACTCTCTCACAATGTTAACCATTAAAGAATATAATAATTATCAAAGAATCCATAAGAAATTATGTAATAATTTCTGCAGAGAGTGAATCTTCTGATGCTACTTTTCAAATGCTTTTGAAACCTGTTTAAAACATGCCCAAGTCATATCTGACCATTCAGAAGGACTTCACTGATCAATAGCATTCAGTACAACAAATGGATCCAGTACTGGGGCTGGGGAGAGGAGACCGAGGAGTGTAGGGAGACGAGAAGGAAAGGCATGGTATTATCTTGATGTGCTGCTTGGCATTTGTGATGAGTCATTGCTGAAACCAAGCAGCCATTCTCCAAGTGTTTCTATAGTTGTTTCAGTGTCTGCTAAAAATGCCAAATTAATCTTAATTCACGAGTCCCCAAATTCACTGCTGAACTCTTCTGTCCTATTTATGTATTGAGATAATACTTGTATGGTCTCTGTGTATGTCCTCTAATTTTAGTCCTTTAGCTAATTCCACAGAAGATGGAGAAAGAAGTGTCAAAGATAATTAAGTTTCTACAAATATTACGAAAATGGCCAGTAGAAACAGACCCTACAAGTTCTAAAAAGTGATAATAGAAACTCATACCTTGTTAAGCATTAGATAATCTACATAGCAAAACAAAAAAAAACCCCAAACCCTTTCAAACATACCAATTGCTGGAAAGATTCAGTTGGAGCTTGCACTGTCTCAGACTGCAAAGTCAGTCAGCCATGAGTAAAAACCAGTAAATGAAACTAGGCTTCATTAGTTCCAGCTATCATTTAATATTAGTTCTAACTATAATTTAATAATACAGAGCTCAACACCTTGTTTTTCAGAAGTAGAATCCTTATTCTTACTCTGATACCTAAGGTTGAAAAATAACCTTTGAATCTAAAATGACCTTTGTCATCCGGTCTTGAAGTTTCCTATATACTTGCACAGATAGTTGAGAAATTTGAGCTTTCATGTTTTGGTAATCACTACCTAATTCATCTGTATTCTCATAAATCTGTTATTAATAGACTAGGGCAAGATGTCTCTAAATTAACAAATAAATCCTTGATTTGCTTTTTGGACTAGCACTTCATTGCTCTCTTCCTTTTCCCTTTAAAACTTATTACCCCATCAACAGTCATCACATGAAGATTTTTTGTTCCATTTCATTCTGTGTTCCCCACGCGTATGCACAAATTCAATTGCTAGTTCCATGTAGATGTCTCATAAGTGTCTAATCTGTTTTTTTTCTCTCCAAATTGAAATTGTGCTAATAAAAGAAAGGTTCTGCAGTGTAGGTACCTAGTTCTTAGCAAGCTGCTTTTACGTTCCTTACTAGTCATCGACGATCTAGTTGGTAAGAGTTAGTGAAATTTATGGTGTTCAATCTGCTTGTGGGAGGTGGTGAATGACTGCCTTTACATAACTTTTTTTTCTTTCTCTTTTGTTCACTCATTAAACTCTCTTTATCTTGACCCACGAGTTTCCTCACTTTTGCTTTTCTGATTCTCTCCCGCATCCTTTGAGGTGGAGTGAGTGGCTGGGTGGGTGCTTAGCTGCCAGCCAGGATCAACCCACCACAGGCATGATTCATCTGACTAAATCTAATAATCTACTTTGTTAAAGTTGATTGATTATATTGGTAAGATTTCCATTGAGTCTAACAGGGGACTGGCACAGGTGTAGACACTGATAATGTAGACATCAAAATTTAGGTGAGATGTGTCTCAGTCATTATATCTGCGGCATTATGGGTAATAAACTGTTCACGTTCAACATGTTTAAAGGCAGGCCTTGCTGTTTTCTTTCCTGTAACTGATCCATTGACCTGTCACAATAATAGCAGAATTATTTTGTGGCTTTTTCATGTGACCTGCTTGTACAAGAAGCATACTTCGATCAAGCTGCGTCTGAATTTTTCTCAGTTTCCTTGCATGATAATATTAAGATGCATTATGATGCAGTCGTTCCTTGTAGCTAAATCTCATAAAGCTGTCATCATGTTTTTTTCTGTAGCCTTCTGAACATGTGTTGTAGCCCCTTCATATCTCTTCAGAATGCAGCTGCTTAGCTCATTTTCACAGCCTGTGGTAACTTTTTATTGCACCAAGGA